TCTTGTAAACCTTGTATGACAGCAAGATACTGTGAAAAGGAATGCCAGAGAAAACACTGGAGGACGCACAAGTACCTCTGTAAAGCTGTTGGTGAGAAAAACGCCGTAGAAGTGTCTATTCCAGATTACGAGTATGTAATGACCTCAGTAGGAAGTCCACGTCTCAAACCTACTGGTCCAGACTACGCGCCCCCTCCCCCAAGAGACGGAAGCCGTTTTATTGTGAAAATTCAAACAATAGAAGATTCAGGCCGGTTGAGCGCAAATTTAGACATGAGAGGATTCGAGAGTGATGACCGGGACCCAAATAAAGCCACCATGATTCTATATGATCGCAGCCGCCAGGTAAATTTTTGTGTTAGCTGTGAACCACAAATCTATCATTTAATCATGGAGTGTGGAATGATGGGAATGAAAATGTCCCTCACCAAGAAACTGTACTGCTGGGCTGCCTTTAAAGATGGCAAAACCCTTCGCATATTCACTCATGAATTTCCACGTGTACAAGACTGGTGAGCCTACCGAATAGTCATGGATGGGGATTCGAATGTCTAGAAGCTTTTTGATAAATATTGTTTGCGTCGATGATGTAGTTATACAGCGCCCTGCACGCAGAAATTCTTCTGGAAACTTTGCTATGAAAGAATGCCTAACGTCTTCAAGTGATTGTATCTTCTGTCAACTTTGATGTCGCATTTATTTCTCTTGCTGCGCTTCGATTGATTATTGGATTGTGAGAATAAAGTATCCTGCAGAACGCACCTAAAAGCTTACTACATGTACCGCTGACTTGAACACTCGAGGAAAGCGAAAAGGTGTTGGGTATATCATTTTACCAGCGCACAAACACGCAGGCCTGGCTCTTTTTTCATTGGGTCTTTTTCAATGAACAACATTATTACACTGCTTGACTATGTGAAGACGTATTCTTTACTTGCAGTGAACTATGATTTATTCCTTCTAAGGATCTTGTTTATTGAATTGAATATAACTGCAACACTTGCTTCAATATTCAAGATATTTCAAAGGAGCAAAATCAAGATTTCTCTTACGTCATTTTCTATTTATTTTTAATAAAGAAGACCTCAAAATGATCGCTTTCAAAGGTAGAGTAATCTGAACGTGTGGAATCTTTGGACTCGAATGACAAAATTGAGAAAATTGGGCAATTTTTTCAAGATGTGTTTCTGTGACCTAGCTCCTTTAAGATCAACTGTGTTTGGAAAGTATCAGCTAGGATTAAAGAGAAAATCATATTTTGTTCACCTCTGTCACTGGTAGGTAAAACGACAAGTATCATACAAGCGTAGTCTCGACTAATGATCAAAAAAATTGTCAGGTTCCACACCACGTTGTTCTACGCTCCGAACTTTCGAATCTTTGGTTGGCTACAGCAGGAAATAGGCCTGGGAAGGTCATATTTTAAACAAACGCCCTGTAATTCCTTGACCTCCGTAATAGCTTTTACTTTGGGAGACGCGGTATCCTCCTGAATCGGAATGTGGGAGGCAAAATTGATAGCTCAGGAATTTGACCATAATAATTATTTTCTTCTCGAGTGCCGGGTTAAGAAGTTTTATTTTTATATTTTGTTATAGTGCCTCTGTTACCGAGTAAATTTTATTGTTGTCCAGAAAATTTACAGCGGGACTACCACGACCAATTCCACTAAAGCAAATTCTTTGCAAATTGACCACTGGCATTTTAAAAGTTTTAAAATAGCCACTAATCCACGTGACCACAAATCTGTTGCCTTTGTAATGTAAAGCTTGATTACATGGATAATTTGTGTGACGATAGGTTTTTCCTGCAAACACTGTAAATTTCGGACTGAACGGACACTTGAACTGGAAACTGGGGGAATCTAACTCTGAGAGCACTGCTTGCCTGCGGGAACGGAAATTCGTCACGATTTCCTGGTACACGAGGATCTGCTTCAATGGTCTTCACTACGGACGTCAAGGAAGAGACATAACTTGGTCCAACAGTAGTTAATTCTGGACCCGACAACAATGATCTTCGTAATCGACGTTATAAGCGTAATCCTGATCGTAATCCATGTAATCGAAAAACCTTTACAAACGTACTTGTTTATATATCATCCTTTACATACACGTCAAGTGTTTACAATATGATAATGCAATACGAGCGGAAAGTGCTTTAATTAAGATAGCGAACTCTAATCAACACCACGAAGTTTCCAAAATTAAAAATAGAGAGCTACGATTAAAATTCACAGGTTGAGATTAAGATAGAACAAACTTAGGAAATTAAAAGTGAGATACTTAATTTGAAATTCTGAATTGGTGTTACCGATAGCAAGGGAACATCCCATGAATAGAAAGTATTAAAACTCCATTACTGAAAAATAGTTCAGCTGGCTAACTTCCGAGGAAACTAATAAAACTTCATTACTGAAATATAGTTCAGCTGACTAGCTTCCGAGGAAACGGAAGGTAGATTTTAATAATGAAAAGAAACTCAAATGACCTGATAATGAACTATTTGTTTTCTAACTGAAAGTTAGTGAAACGGCTTTGCATATGTTCAGGTGTACAAAGAATCGGCAATGTACAAAGTAGAACAATAACTTAAGATTTCTAGTTGATAACTGACGAGAGCCTACTGTTGGGTTTTTTCTATAATTTTCCAAATAATAAAGAAATGCCCGTGCAACGGCGAATTTTCTCATAACATTTGTTGGAAAACTATTGTTGACCTCCACGATTTTTGTTCTTTAAATTTGTAGAAAATTTTGTGAGGCGGCCATGGTTACAGTAGTCGCTCTGTAAACGCTGACCACTTAGCAACAGAATCTGGTCACATAACGCTCATTTTGGATACAAACAATGAAAGTGTCTCACGGTCACCTTTTCAGTGGTAGGCTTCAACCCCATTACTTCCTACTACCCTGTTCGAAAGCCTAAATCACCCGAGGGCTTAAAAAAAGCAACATGACAAACAATGTAAACAAGAGCGAAGCAAATCCTTCACGCCTTTTTATTTTCCTGTGTTAGAATTATCTATAACGCAAGGCTATAAGCTAGGTATAGTAACAGCTGTGGTTGACACTGATAAAAAAAAATTAGAATGTTGGTAAGGCTTCAACGAGAATAGGGACTTTGACCCTGGAAATTACAAAAGAGCGATTGAAATTGCCTAATTCCAAGGCCTCTATATTTCGCCTCAGTTGATCGTTTTCCGGTCACGTGGTCGGAGGCAAAAAGTGTGCTTCTCGGAGACGTCTCCAAAATCGATTTTCCGTGAAGGCCTGGGAGAAAGCCGTACAGGATCTAGGCAACGATTGAAACAAGATTCATAGCTACAGGATAGAACCAATACGTCTTTTAGACAATTTATATCAGAGAACTTGTTGTTACTTGTTGTCAGTAACGTTAACTTTACCTACCAAGGCTCCCACGACTGACAGATCTTCAGATGGGCAATTGTCCTCCACTGTATGAAGCGCCATTTTGGCGAATTTAGTTATAAATCACTTCGCAGTAAAGGCACTTGTGACAACCCCTCCCGTCAAGTGGTGGTGCAGATATGTTGGCGACAGCCGTGCCTGCATCAGGAAAAACAGTGTGCGAGGAGCTCCATGCCCATCTAAACTCCATTGATCCACATTTCCAGTTCACCTATGAGGTTGAAAGGACGGAGCCGTTTGAAGTAAAGGACGCTCCATGTGCTGGTAGTCATAGGGTACGTTGACAAAAAGTGGCATAAATTGAGAAACATCAAATTACAACTCAGGATATTGTCACTCTTCAAATTTCTGTTTAGTGATCAGTTTGTTAAATCTCATAACTTACTTGTCTGAATTAGTATTGATATTTTGAAGAGAAACTGCATTCTGATCACGGTAGAGTTTGACGCGAGTCTGTGTGATCCATGAAGAAAATGGACATTGTGATTGGGTCCTTGTGCGATTCGAATTCTGCAGGAGAGACCGCTGTTACGAAGGTGTTCCGTCGATTTGCTTTTTTGAAACATTCTACAAAAGAGGACTGATTCCTATCGCCTAAAAATCTCTTTTTATTGCTTCCTGGGTACAATTTTAGGCAGCTTCTAGTGTCTTATCATAGTAAAATGTACTTAGTATTTTAAAAGCTCCTCTTTGCTTTTTCAGGCGCCTTCTTCCAGGGAAGCATCCTCGGGAGTTGTACGTGTGCCACCACCAATCAGTGCCCCAATGTGCTGTGGAGCTGGCCTTTAAATGTATTACCGTTAAATGCGCCGAATTTATGGACAGTTATTTTCAGGGAAAACAAGCGAGTTCATTGATGAATTCTGCGTCTTGGATTTGAAGCATTTGATTTACTGTGACAAGATTACCAAGGACTAGAACCACAACTCAAGGTTTTGTGTCTTGGCGATAGTTAAGGGATAGGACCGTGATTGTTTCGGACCAAATCACACACACACGACACATTATTCACTTACGATAGAGGCTTATGTAGAACGTGGCAATGACAAGACAGCAATACCACACAACCTCCAGATTAGATAACATGCGATTTTCATGGTCTTTTGTGGTTCTCCTAGTATACATAATTTTAACAAACACCGTTCAGCGCTGCAGATTTACTGTTATTTGAATGATTCTTTCGTGTGGACGCTGTTAGAAGAAGCAGTCACGCTGTCCACAAACCCAACAGAGGAATGCCGTTACTACGTTACTGTCACGAAATCTGCAAGAAAATATATGTACCAATTAAGATAATTCAACAAGACGTTTAAAGTTATGTTCATATGCTTCATCTTGGGTTGACACTAAGTAGTACGGTGCAGGGGCCCGTTTCTCGAAGGTCACGTAACGTTTTTGCACCCGGAAAGCCACAGCAAAATCTCGAAGCTTATGATTACAGAGCTGTTTTATTCACGTAGTTTTAATATGAACAGAGGTTCCCTTCATAGAATAAGTTTCAGGCGTATACACCTCTTTGTCTTTAAATACCGATTAACTGAAAATGGCTTTCAGTTACTGGCCCGAAAAGTTTCCGGGGCTTTCGAGAAACGGGCCCCTGGTAATTGAGTTGAGTCATACATGGGTGATTTTACTGTATTTGAATTTAGGTTGNGGGGTGTTTACCGTAAGAACAGACTGACATGTTTTTGGAGAAGGGGATAAGCGTGTAGGCCATTTTTCGCAGCGACTTCCTTCTCAATTTCCTTTATCATTCAGTGGGAGATTTCTTTGGCTCGTTTCGTTAAACACTTTTTCCTCCTGAAAAACCATTGCAGGAATTACAGTTGAACCTCCGTTCGCGACCACCTCTCGTAAGCGACCACCTCTCCTCAGGATCCCTCAGCGACCAGTGTTCCAAAATACCAAGTTTCCAAGCCAAATCACTATATTTGGAACCTCTTGTAAGAGATCACCTCTCGTAAGCGACCGCGACTACTTATAGAGCTAAAGGTTTGGAATTTTCTTTCGTTTTTAACCTCCCGTAAGCGACCACTTGACAAATCATAGAGCGACAATTTGATAATGAGTAACATTCTCACCTTCCTGTTGTAACATTCTCACCTTCCTGGGTTGTACAAGAGACGGAAATTTCTCAATGGAAAGTACCGCATTTTTTCGAAATTGACTTTTCACATGAACAAAGCACTTAAAGCATGGGGTAAGTACAGTTACTTACGCTAATGAGACACAATTTTGCCCAATATGGTCTAAGCTCTCGTGAGCAACCATCTCCCGTAACCGCTTTCTAGAGGTTCGACTGTATTTTGTTTGGAATTTGCCCACCCTTTCCCCCGTAACCCTCTCCAACCCCGAAAAAAACGCCCATCCCTTGCGCTGTCAGTTAACATGACGTGACAA